GTCTTGTAATTTTGTGGATATTAAATTTGCTTGTTTGGATACCACACTCGCGACATGAGACATTACAAAGAAGGCACGCGTAAATTAAAGATTAAAAGGGAGTTATCTGAAGTCTCAACATGGCCGTTGCTGTTACACTTCTTCCAGTACTCTTGCTGTTCCCTGTCTACCTCTGGCCCTTCGTAACACAAGCAAACCATTTAACTGTCGATTGCTCTTTCGGAAAGGCAGAGGACTTAGCAAGCAATCTTACAATGTCTGCCATGGTTACAGGCAGACTTGCAGCTTCCAAATATCAGAGCCACTTATGTGTCGTGAAGACAAGTGGATCAAGCCATCAAAAACGCTTCTTGCAGGTGAAAGCCAAAATTGTGAACAGCGAATCGAATGGTAAGCGCGTATGTCTTCTTTCTTTTGACATATTGGGTAAATTTTCTTCGTTTTAAGCAACATGCTTTTTTTCGCAACAGAAATAGGCCAACTGCTAGTAGATTTTTGACATTAGTTTCACTTTATAATCTCGAGTTATGATGTAATGTAAAGAATATAGATTTGATGAAGAAAGTTTTACTATCTTAGGACATGAATTCTGCAAAACTTGTAGTTCAAGTGAAAGTTGTGAAAAATGCGCTATGGGTTTACGTGGAAGCCATCTCACGCGATCGAAAGGATGCACGCCTACTTTCGATGCCAAGGCTATCCCAGACAGATATTTTATTAGTCGTGTGTTTTATCTGTAAGTTTCTTTCATAAAAATTAGCTTCACGGCTGGTAGGCTTGTAGAACGTTTCTGATTGAAAGATGAAAGTGGTATTTCAAAATTTTTTTAGAAACCCGTCTGAACGAGAGAATGTTTACTTAAGTAGAATGCCATTACGCCTTGGCAACGCTCTGTTTTGATTACGAACTTTGCAATCCCTTATCCGTATAGTGTCAATAGAACTACATACTGAGTTAGCATAATCATCGGTTTTGACATAGTACTAAGATATTATTCGTACTCTGTAATCGTATCAACTCCGACCAAAGAATATACGGGCGCACACACCAAAAGAAGGATTCAATGAGAAAATCTTTCGATGAAGAGTATTCACCCATACAGCTTATGGAACAGCAATAAATGGAAAATCTGTTTCCGGGAAACGATCCTGGCAGTTGGGGTTAGATGGAAGAAGTTCGATTTGATCGAGGTAGTTCGGGTTGAATGCATACTTTTCGTGCAACAGCTTTCGAATCAGTCAGCAATTTCAACTGGAATCCCAGTTCATTGTTGAAAAATACCTTAAGTTGTCTCGTCGTCTTTGTTTAGACAGATATCAGGAATAGATTAGACCGGTTTTGTTTGTGCTTGTAGGTGATACAGGAACAATTTCTCGGAAAGATAAAAACATTTTGCATCTGAAAGCTGAACGGCAAGTAACCACGAGTGGAGGGTATTTTACGAACCTTTGATCATTCCTACTGTGATGTGTTCCTTATCAAATATCTGGCTCCTCTTTGTCACAGTTATCGGCAGTGCAGTTATTTAAGGTCCCTTTTTTCAACGCAAAATTTTCATTCTAGATTTATGATCTGCCCTGTTTAAAAATTCATAAAGCGACTGAGGTGCTAAAATCGCTTTCTTTGTGGAAAAATCCGTGAGTTTGTCACTCTATGCAGCAATTAAAAGGGAAAAATTTCTTAGGACATCTTGTCAAAAGGAAAAAACTTTTTTCCCTCAGCACTCGAATGTGCCATTCCAGCATACATGCGTAATTATCTCTATCTCTTAGGAGTTATCCATTTTTCAGTTGCGTGATTGGTTGCCAAGCCTGTCAACATAGGTGAGGCTAAGGATGACCTTGTTATGATACAAACCGTGCTGCTTTTCAAATGTAAATTACTTTGTTGTCATGCTAACTAGATACTGGTCTCTACCACAACAAGGGCAACTTCAGCCTCACTCCAAATCAAAGGTTTTTAGCTGAATAAAAAACTGTAAATTGGCCTGTTGCTGTTTCACTACTTTTAAAGGTGCCACGAGCTGGGCTATCAATTTCCCAAAACCAAGTACAAACAAGAGGGTCTCGAAGGGGTGATGGCTTTCACGACTATTGGTTAAAATTTTGGCCATTGAACAGCTATTGTTTAATTTCATTCCGTTTCAGGTAAAAGAAACGTTTTTACACTCAACAAACCGTTTAAATTTATTTGCTCTTATTTTAGCTCAAACTGAATAAACTGATGTTAGTGAAATCACAAACATAGAAATTCTTGACAAGTGGCAATTATGCCAAAGGACCATCTTCGATTGACATCAGAATTTGAAAAAATCCTAAGCAGTTACTGGTATATTTGACTGTAAATCAACCAAGGTTTAAATCTTCACGTAACAAAAATTGAGGATTTATATTCCCTCCAACAGGATTTTTGCATGCATCAGTATATGGAACAGATAAACCCCAATTACTGGGCAACTTGGATGTATGGAAATCGAAAGGGGATTGGAGTTCTCTCATCATATGTCCGTCACGTGACCACAATAACAAAGATCAAGAAAAACATCTGGTACTCTCAGGAACACCAAACCTTGCCTTTAGAGTGCAGGTAGAAAGTTCTGTTGTGAAAATAGTGCTCAATAAACCACTGACTTTCGATTTAGGTCCATATGAATCATTCAAAGTGTTTCAGTTCATCCCAACGGAAGACATCTCAGATATGCAGCTTGACGTCACTGTCACTTCTGAATCTGACGACGTACCAGCTTACCTAAAAGTATCACGTGACTGCAAGGATGTCAATGAGAACATTGACGTTGTTGACTATAAGGGAGAGTCGATTCGCCTGTCTTTTGCTAAAAAGGGACGGATTACTTTGTCAAGAGTTTCTATTCCACCATTGACTGATTCCACCTCAAGCTGGTTTATTGGAATTGCAATTAAGAATGCGACAGGTGAGACACCAGATAAGGCGACTAAGACTGTGACATTAACTTTGAAAAGATCATTTAATTATTCCTACGTTTGGCCCATATTTCTCTTGGTCGCGTTGTCAGTAGGCTGTGGTGCCGTAGTGGCGTGCTGCGGTATTCGCTGCTTTTCGATCTCGCAAGAAGGGAGAATGGAAGAATGCTGTAAAGTTGTTTGGAGCTGGTTCAAACGTGGTCCCAAAACATACTCATACATAACTGGTGTTGCTGGCTTTGTGTTGATGATTGGTGCAGGCCAGTTTGTTTTCGCCAACTGGCATCTTATGATACAAGAAGGAGACAAAGACACTTGTTATTACAATGATTTTTGTTACAGGGTCAGCAAGTATGGTGATATTCCATTCAATTTAATGATTAGTAACTTAGCATATATGATTCATGGCCTAATTCTAGCTATTTCTGTGATGTATATGGAGGCAAAACTATTTTCTCGTCAGACTGACCCACCCAAGCATGCGTTTTCCATGGGTTATGCTTTTGCCTGGGCTTTATTTTTTGAAGGTTGTTTTTCCCTTGTTTATCATCTCTGTCCAACTAAGCTGACGTTTCAGTTTGATACAGGGTTTATGTTCGTCATTGCAGGATTGATCGTTGTTTTGTTGTACAATGGAATCGAAATGAAAGAGAATTCGGGAGAAAGGGGATTTGTTGACGCAGCCAATTTCTTCCTTTACTTCCTTGTACCACTGTACATTTTTAACTATTTTGGCACACTGAGTCATTCAAAAACTGAGCTGGTTAACGCTCCGGCTTTTTTTACTTTTGTTGTAATTTGGTGGATTTTCATTACTTTCTGGACGGGTTGGAAACTATTCCCAGATTTTAGTTCAATAAGTTACATAAGAGAAAATCTCGGTAAGTGTCTTTGTTTTTTTCTTGGTTTTGTTTTACCATTCTTTTCATGTGGGTTTTTTTCAAGCAATATTCCTATAGCTTTCTTGTTTACCTGTATTGCAGAAGGCATTATTGCTATTATCGGCACTCTCTGGTGCAACAGGAAGAAAATCAAATGGGCAAAAAGTAAGTGCGCTTTATGTTTTCAAGTTGCTTATATCGCGCTTATGGTTATTTTGTGGTTTGTGGCTGGTTGGATTTTTTTCAAAAAAGCAACAACAGATAAAACGTTTACTCCTGAAAAATCAAGAGATTATAACCAAGAGTGCATAATTTTGAATTTTTTTGACTACCATGACCTCTGGCACATTTTATCATCCCATGCTCTTCTCATGTCAGCGTATTTTGTCATGTTTGCGAGTCACAAGGAAGATTAAATTGTCATGACTCAAAATCAGGAAATAAAACTCAGACTGAGAAAATAACTTGGAAAACTGCAGATGAGGAGGGGACCGTCCTAAGAGAATATATTCTCTTGACCAACTGTTATACTGACGTAACATTTGAAAATTAGATTTTGACACTGCCGGGTAAAGACCCTCTTTAATTTGAGAAAGCTCACTTAGGAAAACCAGACTCTATCTGTCTATCATGTGTCCCTGGTTACTTTCCTTATAACAACTTATAGGTTCAATGTAGGTCTGTGAATGTATGGCACCATCAAGTTCAGAACTTAGAAGAAGGAGCATAGTAATCACAGGACTCTTTTAAACATACT